AAAATCGAAAAACACTATTTTTCTATATAAACGACAAATTGCCTCTCTTTTACAGGCTGGTTCTCGGCAAAAGGAAATTTTGGTGAGCTTCATATACCAAACTTTATGCTCAAGGGTCTTGTGCACATTTGCACAAAACGAGTCAATTGGGTGTCTGTAAGTTGATGCCTTTTGAACGCAAAGTAGCGTTTTTCACTTTCTGCGCGCCATGCGTGGGTAAACTACCGGAACTATTACAAAAAAACAAAATTATAAAACAAACAATGTGTTTTTTGAATTTTTTCAATTCTTTTTGTTTTTCTTCACTTCAATCAAAATTTTGGCTCTTTTTTTTTGTTTACATAATTTTGATTTCAACGAATGATTTGTGTATTACAGGTTACAGGTTTTACAGGGTCATCAGTTGGAAACAAAATTATGAAACAATTAAAAAGAGCCAAAATTTTGATTGAAGTGAAGAAAAACAAAAGAATTGAAAAATTCATAAAACACATTTGTTTGTTTTATAATTTTGTTTTTTTTGTAATAGTTCCGGTAGTTTACCCACGCATGGCGCAGAAAGTTGAAAACGCTCTTTTGCGTTCAAAGGCATCAACTTTTCACAGATTCACCCAATTGATCCGTTTTGGTGTCAAATGTGCACAAGACCCTTGAGCATAAAGTTTGGTATATGAAGCTCACCAAAATTTCCTTTTTGCCGAGAACCAGCCTGTAAAAGAGAGGCAATTTTGTCGTTTATATAGAAAATAGTGATTTTTTCGATTTTTTCGATTTAAAAATCTGTCAGACGGATTCGAAAAATTCTTTCAAATTTGGATTCAGGACATTTTTTCGCATCGAATAGCACTTATCTTGAGCAAATTTAACGGCGATCGCATTTTCGCGCGGATGTGGGGCGGGCGACTCTGGGCTCCGGGATGGAGGGCGGGGGACTCTGGGCTCCGGGGGATGTACGTGGTAAATCGGTGAACGTACCAATGTCCACGAATCCCCCAACAATATTCGTCACCTTTGGGAACGTTAAAGTTTGAATAAAGAATAATAGCCTCACTAGGGATGCTTTTGGACTTACACTTCGGTTTTGACAGACCTAGCACATCTTGTTCAGTTTTTTGCGCTGATTCCGATGGTGTATGTTGTTTGGGGATGACGGTTCTAAAATTTTGAGAGATTGCGCTGCAAAGTCTACGTCAAAATTGGGCATCCACGAAACCGCGCACCCACGAGTCATAAGGGTTCTACAGAGATGGATGAAGTGGACTTACTCTATCCATTAGGTTTCGAGACAGGAGTTATGCTGCTTTTTTGAAAATCTTATGTAGAACGAAAATGTAGAACGTTCCCGTGTTACAAATTTAATTTAATCTCCACTTTTATAAGGTTTTCTATTTTTAGTTATTGCTTCTTCTCACCGCTTGGCATATGAGCTTTGCTCTTCATGGGATTTTTGTTGGGGTTTTGTTGCGGATTTTACCGAGCAAATGTTGCAAACGGTCAATGACGAAGTGGGTAGATTTTGAAGGATTTTGAACTCAAGGCAGGTTAGATTCAATTTTGAATTCAAGGCGGTTGAAGCCAAAGCCTAAGGCGGTTAAAGCCAAAAGCTTAAAGCGGTTAAAGCCAAAAGCCTAAGGCGGTTAAAGCCAAAAACCAAAACGCATTTATAAAAGCCCACTGCTAGAAATGAAGCTATTAGGTTGATGCAAAAGTCTTTTCATTGTCCGTAGTAACAAATTCACCAATTAATCAGTTTGCTCTATAAAGTGTGTTCAATTTGCATCTTTTGTTTCGGTTCTTTCAGCATTCGAGGTGAAACGCCTTTTTCGTAAAAATCTATAAAAACTCTACGGAAAATTGGCTGAATGTTTCTCTGAAATTTTGGCGAAATATCAAACTTTTTCTCTTCTTTTCTATTGACCGAAGATGGTTTTCTTTGCTAGGTGTCTAAACCGCATCTCGGTTGCCCTTTTTGACTCCCGCTTCTCTCCAAGAGTCCAGGCATAATTTTTAACCCGTTTTTGTTTTTTGCAGAAAATAATTGGTTTTTCTAATGAAATCAACCGTGTTTAATTGGTGCTTTGTTGGCTGAACGGCAGACGAAAATGAAAAGCTTTTGCATCCCTATGAAACCACTTATATAAAAATTTGAAGCAAAAAATATTTGGCTTGACTTTGAATTAGTTTTTCCTACAAAAATTGGCTTTAGCAACAGCTCTGGCAAGTCAAAAAATCCTCAAAATGTAGCTGCTTTTCATTGCAGGATTATCGGAGTGATCTCGTTGTTGAATGGGGCTACTCTCCTCGCATACTACATCATGTTTTTCCTTCTTGGTGACACAGTTTGTATTAAGTCACAAATCATTAATTTTTAACTTTTCAAGAATCAATACATAATCATTGGACGCACTCTTTTGGTAAAAACAAAAACACCAACCACGATAAGCGCCCTGTTTTGCGTGGTAATCACTTTGTGTTGCTTGGCCGCGTTGATTGCCCTTCTACATTGGCATCTCAAAAATGAGGCTCATTTATCACTGACAACGGCTCGGCGACAAAAAATGCTACTTAAAAACAGCGTGATACAGGTTTGAGATTTCGAACACTAAACATTTTTCGCTGTTGATCAGTTGATTTCCAGTTTCTCGTGCCTCTGCTTTTCTACGCTTGCCCGGTAGCTGTTCGCATGATTGCTTTGCGCGTTGAGCGTTTCAGATCCGACGGTAGAATTGATTTAGAGCTCTTAGAGCTATTTAGCTATAAATAGCTTTAGCTAGCTATAAACTTTAGCCCTAATCGAGTACGCTAACTTTGTTCAAACTTTCTACGGCTCATTGTTCACCCTCACCACCATTGTTCTCTATCGACCGTATCGCAGGTTTTTCGCTGAGAAACTTGAATGTAAGCGTTTTGAAGAGAATTTTGCTGAAAACTAAAATGAAAAAACAATGAGCGATACATTTCAGCTGTCATCGACTTCTCGAACTTCTCACAAACCAACAATGAAACGCGTATTTTGGCAAATCATCTGATCTCTTCGTGAAGAAATGCTTTAATTTGAAAGTGCAAGAAAGTGTTTAGAAGCTGTAGTAGAAGCTTTAAAGTTGTAGTAGAAGAAAACAAACAGAACTGTACACAGGCAACGCAAACTTTTCCAAGTCTTGGTTCGGTCTTGGCCCGCTACCAGTTTCTCAAACTGCTTGGTACAGGTCTTTTAGTCATGCCTATCATGATCAAAAAGCGTCTGATTCCATCCAGAAAACTTCAAGGTTATGGAAAAGGTATTTAGGTATTTATAAATATTTTTATCTAGCACTTATTCAACATTTTAGAGAATTACCCTGTCGTTAGTTTTGATGCAGAATAAAACGGACCGAACAAGTCCGATTCAAATCCGATATTTAGACTTTTAGTCCAATTCTATCTTTCCAGAAAGCCAGCCAATACCGGTACAATAGTTTGCCACATTTTTACAACAAAAGCGATAAAAATTTAAATAAAATGTTTGTGTTTTATAAAAAGCACATATCATTGCCATTCGATAGTGAACATAAAATGAAAGATAACAAAAATGACGCTACCTTTTGATCTTTCCAAAAGACTGGTAAAAAGAAGTTTTTTATAAAGCTCCAAACGATAATAAACAGTAGAAAAACTAAAAGTTCTTCTATACAAATCCCGATTCCTATTAGCTAAACGGGAAAATATGTTGTCAATTGATCTATCGAGATCACATTATATAAAGAGGTGGCAAAAGAAACGATTCAACAGCATCAAAGTCAGCTTGAGTAGCTTTCCAGGAAGATAGGGTTGAATATTGGAACTTGGAAAAATATTGGAACTAATCGATGCGGAGGAGCGCCGGATGTGGCATCTCAAGGTGACAACGGTGGCATCACCACGTGGCAAATCCGGGACGATCAACAGCAGCGAAGCCGAACGGATGTGCTGATTGTGCTGGGCTCGATGATTTTGAGCAATACGCTACATGGGTCCGTCGCCTTAAACGTGCCTCTGCGAGATGTTTATAGCTATGATTATTAAGTTTCATTGGTTTTTCTCGAGAGTTTAGATAATTGTGGTTCTGAAGATCCGGATATTTTCTTCTTTCTTCCTTTCTTCTTCCCCCTTGTCTTTCCTTCTTTCTCTTGGCTAGTTAACGTACCGGATAGCTCAGTGATTAGAGCAATTGCCCGGAAAACAAAAGGTGAAAAGTTCAATCCCCTTTCCGGAAATCTATTTTTTTTCTTGCCAATTCCTTCACTCCTTTATTATCCAGCGCCAATTTTCAGGTTGGTTCGTTTATTCATTTGTAAACTCTCCTCAAAACAGCTTGGTTTTTGTCTTTGAGTCACTGCCAACTCCCCGGAGAGTAACATTTTAGAGCTGCATAACGAAAAAAGTAAATTGATAATAAGAGCTTCCCTTGGAAACGGGTTTCACTTTGTATAGGCGGAAATACAATTATAATATTCCTTCGTTTTTTTCTAAATTTCGGTTGTTTTCTAATAATTTTGGTTCTTTCAACTCTTTCTTTGTAAATAGTAAGTGATAGTCAAGTATTGAAACGGATTCCAGAAAATGCAAGCCTATTTCAAGTACGGGAATCTCGAATCGAACCCGCAGTACTCTTGCGTGTAAGTGTTTCTTCTAATTTCACTCCACTTCTAATAGAACCTCATTTTCTAAAAATATATACAATATATGTATGTCGTAGTCGATTTGTACTTCCAGCCGATTTGGGCTGAAATTTTGAAAGTTGAGTCAAAGCAATCGTTTGTTTTTCTAGAAATGTCACGCTAACTTTCAACGAGTTATCGGCTCATCATGTAAAACATCCGTACATCGGTGTTGCCTACATGACAGCCGGCTTTTTCTTTGAGGTTTGCTATAAACAACTAAGCATTAGTTTTTTTTTAAAAACTTGTTTTAAGGTCGCTTATATTTTGTCGTTAACTGTCATATGGAGCGGAGAATTTCTGAAGCTGTCCTGTTTCAAGCTGATGTTTGCATTAGGTGGCTTTTTTGGCTTGACTTTCTTTACCTCTTCCACCGACTGCTTTCCAAATTGTCTTTTTGCAGGCGTCATCGATTGTTTATGTATTATCTTAGCGTATTTCTATACGGGATATTGGTATATGATTGGCTATGAGTATTGTATGTATCCGTACACAAGCTATTGGGTGGGGAATCTGAACACTGGTAAGTTTGATGCTTGAAATTCAAATGTTAATACTTTAGTCGTGATTAACACGTGCTTTATGCTAAGCATGTTGCTTGCCTTCAATCGTTTCCTCGATATGTGGAAGCCAGAAATCGGGGAAAGGCTTTTCAAGGTGAAAGACGTTTACAGAAAGCTTACTGACAGTTACTTGCTTATATTTACAGAAAGCTTACTTACATTTGCTCAATTACAGAAAGAATAGAAAGTCAAAACGGTCAAAAAAAGCTTTTGAAATTCACAGGCGAATCGAACATGGATTTTCGTCTTTGCGGCGGTTCTATTTGGAGTATTTGGCGCTTACTACTCGATACCAGCATTCTTCAGTACTGACTTTGGGACTTTTATCTATCATCCGCTCATCCCGGGAAAAGAGAATCTAAAGGTTTTTTTCACTTTAGTAATATAAATCTTGAATCTCTAAGTACTACACGATTTTCCAACCGATTATCAACATGTTCACGGGCGTTTCGATTTGCCTTTGCTATTCCTCGATCTGTATAGTTTATTGGATGAGACTGAGACACGGAAATCTGCAAACACAAACGGATTTTCAGAAACGAGTAAGCGAAGATGTGTGAATTCAAGCACAAGTGAAAAACAACAAGCAAAAGAACTTTCAGATTCTCATTCAAGCTGTTCTCATCTGTTTTCCCACTTTCACGGTGACCTGTATGTGGACCTCATTCAACTTCATCACTCCAACGAGTTTCCTCATGAATGTCGCGCATTTGAATTGGCAACTTATGCATGGTGAAAAAGCAATTTAATTAAAATCAATGTTCAATTAAAATTCATTCAATTTCAGCAGTACCGGCTTTTGTTTATCTCTTCGTCAACAAAACGATTCGCAGACGAGCGTTTGTCATGGTGAATTCGTGCGCTATAGCGACAACTTTTTGGAAAAGTAGCTGGCAAATGCCTAACTTATTTTAGAAGTGTCAAGCGTTATATAGAGAATTGTAGCCCTAATTCTCGGCAATATTTATCTACCAAAAACTTCCCGATTGAACTTATACAACTCAGTTAACAAGCGCTTGAATGAGCGCTAGTCGATATCTCTCCGATCTCTCTTCAACTTGAATTTTAGTTATACCAGTTCAGCCAAAACAATTAAATGTGATTCTTAATGTTATTAAGTTATGTTAAGCGCTATTTTTGCATTAAAGAAATATTGAAAAGCTTTTCTTTTTTGAATAGAAAAAGGCAGCCAAATGACAGATTCTCTGAAGAGACTAGCGCTCATTCAAGCGCTTGTTAACTGAGTTGTATAAGTTCAAACGGGAAGTTTTTGGTAGATAAATATTGCCGACAATTAGGGCTACAATTCTCTATACAACACTTAACACTTCTAAAATAAGTTAGGCATTTGCTAGATACTTTTCCAAAAAGTTGTCGCTATTATTCGCGGTCACCCTGTAGTTTGGCGTATGTACAGAAATAGAATCATTTTAAAAGCAAAAAAAATGGAAAAAGTACAGTTAGTAACAAGTAGAAATGTCAGAAAAGTCAGAAAGAGAAATGGGAACCATTCGTTGCTAGTTATAAGTGGGGAAAGAATAGGCATAGCTAACTGCAAAGCAAACGCTACAGCTTATTGTAAACGATTAGTTTACAGTTTTAATCGATTAATCGAATATTTTCAGATATTTGCCTGTATTGGTGTTACTCCTGGCAACTCATATCATACGAATAGCAAAGTCGATTCCACTCCATCCAAAAGCATTGAACTGCAAAGTCCAAACGAAGATCCTCATCAAAATCCAAGAGATTGATGTTTAGTAGAGAAATAAACAGAATCTCTTTGCTCTCAAACACAAATTACTTTTGAAAGTAGAAAGAGAAACTCAAAAAAGTCAACATTAGTTCATTGTCATTCGATTTATTTCTCAGCTGAAACTTGAGACTTGAAAGAAAGGTTGACAAGAATGCCATAGGAATTGTGAGAATTCTGGTGATTCTTCCCGTGATCGTCGAAAAGAAAAACTTCGATTGAGCAAAAAAAACTCCATAACGGTGGATAAAAATCCAAATCTTAAGCTCTTTTTGCATGAAATCTGCCTTTTTCTTAACTAATACTATGCCAAATTCTTCCTTAACATAGCCAACAATTCCAACAATAACTCTTAAAAATTGAACTAATCTGAATCCCTTCACTTCCATTAGGATTTTACTTTGCTTTACTTTATTTTACTTTGCTTTACTTTATTTTACTTTGCTTTACTCTATTTTACTTTGCTTTACTTTATTTTACTTTGCTTTACTCTATTTTAATTTGCTTTACTTTATTTTAATTTGCTTTACTCTATTTTCCTTTGTTTTACTTTATTTTGCTTTGCCATGTCGTAGCCATGACGCAAATTTTAATTTCACATCTATAAGAATAATTTGAGAAACAAAAAAACGAGTGGCTGATTAATAATTCAAGAGATTTTTCTTCTTTCTAATGTTTATCTTCAAACGGAACGCCTCTTCTAAACGCAAAGAGATTCATCATTAATGATCTCGGCAATGATCTTCATCATTTCGGCACTAAAAACTCTTCAAGATCTCATTTTCTGCAGGATTTTCTAGGGATTCGCATTTCCTAGAATTTACATATCTAAAAGAATCGGTATATCAACATATCTACATAGCTAAATCTTCTAAATCTACAAATCTTTTAAAAACAGAAATAGCCATGTTTCATGCATCAAATTTGACCATTTATTGTCCCCATTTCGGAGAACCTACACGAAAGCCATTCATCGAACCCGAATGCCTCTCAATGAGACATTGTCTCCCAACGGCTTGGACTATCAAAACGATGCTTGAAATAATGGTGAATGTGTGATTGAGAATGTATTTGAACTATTTTTCCAGATTGTTTCTTGGTGGGAACCCTACTGTGAGCCGATGTTTACCACTCCATCAATTGCAAATTGCCTTTTCGTCTTTTCTCTTTTGGCACTCATCGTGTACACAGTGGTTTTTGCTCAAATTTGTCGCCACAAGAAGTTGAACTTCGGCTTTCGTGTTTGCACTTGTTTACTTTACATAGCTGATGCCCTAACGCTTTGTATGTCGGCTAGAGGTAAGTGGAATACTTCTGTATAGCCATTTGAATGTTCACTAAATCTATTGACTGTTTATTTCCAAAAACTCTGTTTGTTCTGTGAGCACAGCTCTGACAAAACCGCACAGCTCTGACATAAGCGCACAGTTCTGACATAAGCACACAGCTCTGACATAAGCGCACAGCTCTGACATAACCGCACAGCTCTGACATTTCCTTTTGCAGAAGCCCAGATCCAAGGCTGTGTGCTAATGTTGCGAGTCGATCTCGAATATGTATGGCAAGGTGGAAAGACGGCCATCCAAGATCTTTTAATCCACACAAATCTTCTGATGGCTTTCCTCAGATATCAGGAGCTCACTCACCTCACACCAAACGTAATTGTGTCCACAAATTTAAGTGGATTTCTCAATGATTTCAGACAGAAAGCGGCAACAAATGTACTCTATTATTTGGAGGGCTTTTGGCTGTCGCCTTTTCATTGCTCTCCTTTTTTCTTGTCGCATACGGTTTCACCAACGTTATCTCTTATGAAACGAGAGCCTATTGTGACAAACAAATTTGGCCAACGCATGTAAGTTTTGTAAAAGTCTAACTTCAACTTTTGCCTTTTGGTATATACGCCTAACGTTTCTATTCTTTGTGACAAGTCTCACGGCAATTCTGTATGTGATGTGTGCACTGAAAATTCGAAAGGTAACTTACAAATTACATTTTTTTTATGGTCAAAGTCGTGTAATCAGATTTCCTCACTGAGTGCAGGAAAGGAGAAATTCTTGCTCGTCGTCTCGGTCTCGGTGTTTGTTTCTCAGCTTTTTTATGTCTATGTGACAGCTTGGATTGGATCAAAGCTCGGGTATGATTCATAGATATGTATTAGTGTTAGATTACTGTATTAGATTACTGTATTAGATTACTCTATTAGATTACTGTATTGGATTACTGTATTAGATTACTTTAGGTATCATAAATACATTTGTATAATGTATGTATATCTATGCCCTACTGTAGCATAGTTTTTTTAGGCATCTTTGTGTCATCCGTTTGGTTTAGCTGAAGAGTATTCTCGGTATTACTGCAATTACAAGTACACTTGATATTTTAGGCTAAATCTCGGCAATTTTCATTGAATTAAAGTTTAGAGAGTTTAAAGCTCAATCCGAACGTTGGGTGCTGTAAAAGTACTGTGAAATTTAGTCTGAATAATCTCTCAGTTACTTCAGACTTGGCGGAGATACTCTAAATGCAAACCTCAGCTATTTTGGACGGCCCTTGTGCTGCACTGTTGCCCCGGTGAGTTGGTATTGTGATTGTTATTGACTGTGTTTGTTATTGACTGTCATTGTCATTGTCATTATCATTAACTGTTATTGTCATTTATGGTGAGTTGGTAGTATTTGCATTGATCCCCACAAACCAGATATACAAGTGAAACTTTGTATGAGTTAGGTAGAAAAACCGTTCAACCTTTAAATAAAATAATTCTATTGGAATAAACGACAGATATCAGAGTTTTTGCATACATAAGTTAAATAAGTCAAAAATGGATTATACTGAAGAAATATGGCGACAGAATCCCGTTTTACGGTCTTATCTAGTGTTATAAATAACTGTAAAAAAATCAGTCTGAGAAACTTCAATTTAGATGCTCTACTTATGTTCGAGTCGTGTACGCGAGGCGATAAGAGCGGAAACGTTAGCCAATTTACGAGAAATCAAATGCATTAAGGCACAAAAGGGTGAACACGCTGAAGAGAACACACCGTGATGGAAACGAGTTGTGTATAGAAGTGTATAGAACTCTCGCTGTCAATTAGATATGTAAATCTATGTGTAAATCTTTGTATAAATGCCATGGAGTTATATGTAGAGCTGTAAATTTGCATAAATATCCTTGACAGAGGTAATATTTGCACAAAACATACTGCTATTCTTCAGTTTTCTTTTCCGGTTGGGGAGACTTAGGCCACGTGCTATTGGAATAGATAAAAAATAAATTTACATAGACATAATACATTTAAAATACATTTACACACACAATACACGAATAATGTCTGCTACTGTGGGACTTTTGGACACCCTAAACTGTTAGTAAAGGAAAAAACTCCGGTAAGAGGAAAAAGAAACTGTTTATCTATCGATCGGATCGAAGCTTTGACCTTTCGACTAAGAGACAGGATTCCTAACCAGTCAGCCAAAGCAGGACAAATCGGAGAACAATTGAACAAACCCGTATCCAAACCTACCCAGCTCCAGCTATGAACATCGGAGAACGATCGAACAAACCCACGTCCAAACCTGTCCAGCTCCAGCTATGAACAAATCGGAGAACGATTGAACAAACCCATATCCAAACCTGCCCAGCTGTTGGACGTGCGTCTGACGAATTAATTTCTAATTTCTAACGGGTAAGTTAATCTTTTAGCCAAAGTGAATCTTGCTTGTGGACCGGGAAAAACTTGCTTCTTCGATGGCACTATGAATCAATGTTACCCACCGGTCACTACTCGCACAACCATCACCCGTCGCCGCTTGGAACGTCGTTCAGCGATGTTACTTTAACATTAACTTTTATCGAAGACCTAATCAAGTTTCTGTAAATTGTTTACTTTAACTCTTTTAATTGAAATCTAGTATTTTTCAGTTTTTCTCTTTTCTAAAAATTAAGCAAAAAGATTTTGTTTCGGAAAAGAAACTCCTCCCATTGTTTCCGCCATTTTTCAAAAGATCTGCTTGGCTCTGAGCTTCTCGGCAGAGCACATATCTAGACGGCGTTAATGGTTAATTTGGTTACGCTCAAATTAAACATAAACATAACATGAGATTGGTTGTTTAAAAGTGGATACTACAAGGCCACCTCAAAAATCGAATTTGGACTTATCAACAAGATGGTGCGCCGGCTCACAAGGCAAAGAAAGTGCAAGAGTTTTGTTCAAAGACCTTCCCAGACTTCATCTCGTTTTCTGAGTGGCCACCCAGCTCACCCGATCTTAACCCATTGGATTACTCAGTCTGGAGTGTTCTTGAAGCCAAGGCATGTGCAAAACCATATAAAAATTTCGAAAGTTTGAAGAAGGCGCTCATCAAAGCATGGGATACCCTCGATGATGCCTATTTGCTCAACGCGTTTCCCAAACGTTTGCAGACCTATCTGAATGCCGATGGAGGCAAATTTGAATTTAATTGTCAATTTGTTACTGTTATATGTTGAATAAAGATATTTAATTTAACTTTTCGAGATGGGTTGCATATTTGGTTAAAAGCCAGGCGTTTTGTGTGAAGATGAAAAGGCAATTTGCAATTGATGGAGTGGTAAACATCGGCTTTTGTGTGGTAATTCTTGATCACCCTGTAAACATGAATATGGAGGAGTGGGAGATGGAATTCTTTTTTCGAAACAGACTCTTTAATCACCAAACTTCAAATGACACATGTTTCGATAACGTAAAAGAAGCGCCAAATTTCCTGTTTCTCTAATTTTATCAAAGAAATGCAGTTCTTGTTTGTTTGTTCGGGTTTGTCGCGTTTCTCTCAACTGTTTTTTATCGTTACAACGCAATCTTAGAACTTTGGCGCCTTTCAGCTTAAAAAGGATTTTAATTGTCGAATATATAGGCAGATATATAAAGAGAGAAAAACGTAAATGTTCTATAGAAGTGCGAAGAAAATAAGCATTAATTTAATAACTTACAGTAAATACTGTAATAGTACCCCACCCCCATAATGACGGTGCGAAGCGTTGCGTAGTCTAGCTTTGGACGCGCTTTTCTTGACACTGGTTTATGCTACAATGCGCGCTTAGGTATCAAAAATTAGCTGAAATCCAGGGCTATTTTTTGATACCAAAGACACATTTTTTGACAGTACGGGCGCTTTTAAAAAAATGAAATACGAAAAAAACTTTTGCGACTACGCGACTGTACGAGGGGGGTGGGGTACTATTACAGTATTTAGTAGGCAGATATATAAAGAGAGAAAAACCGTAAATGTTCTATAGAAGTGCGAAGAAAATAAGCATTAATTTTCGTTTTTTCGATGAAAAAGTTTTTAAACCATGAGTTTTATTGGTTCAGATAATTTTGGGGCATGTATATAGGTATTTTATTCAACTCTCAGAAAGTATGTACAACTTTTTGAATAGAGCACTCGCTAGGTCGTCAGCAATTTCACAATTCCAATCGCTTTCAAACAGGCGAATATCGGATAGAAGACTCCGAAGAGTTTCTTTTGCATCGTTATCACGTATTCATCGTATTGAGCCTAAAGCTGACGGATTTTTCTTAAAATAAAAGACCTTTTTTTGGCTGTTATGTTTTTTTAATGTTTTGTTAATGTTTTGGCCAAACTTGATAAAAATTCCCCCCAACGAGCGTCAAATGATTGGCTTGAACGAAAGGAGCGAGTTCCCATCTCATTCGACCACTTGACGACTCAGATGACACCTAAAATACTTGTTTTTTATAAGTTTCATTTAAAAAACAATTTCTAATCAAAATTGAATGACAAACAAATTGAAAGATCTAACCATTGGACCCGAGTCGAGTCGTTTGCATTGCTTGTACAACAGAAAGCAATAGCGATGAAGGCCTAGAACTTTTAGTGGCAATCATAGGTGAAAAAACAGATATAAACACGGCATAACTCCTTAGCCCCATAACTCCGTCGACTTCGATTATCTTCAAACTAGGCTTCAAACTAGACTTCAAACTAGACAACTTTAAACTGTCTAGACAGAACTAGACAGTTTGAAGTAGGGTTGGGTTGGATTGGATCAAACCCACTCCAACCCAACCCTAAACTCAAACTAACCAGTTCCCTCGGGTGGGCCAGCTCCAATGTAGTCGGCTGTTGTGTCGCCCATTTGCAGAGAATTTTCGGGAATATTCACCACCATCCAATGCTTGAACATCTTCCCGGGTGTGCCCTTTCTTCGAGATGGGGCATCGGGATCTAAATATTGACACCTTTCTGGGTATCTGGCAAAAACGTTTCAGCATATATTATTAAAGGGTTTTCGGAAGGAGAACTGCAGTGGTGGCCGAGTGGTAGAGTGCTAGAGTACTGGTCTACTGCTCGCAGGTCCGAGTCCTGTTACTTTTTCTTTTTACGAAATTTGCAAGGCGATTGATTGTAGATCACATGCTTTTATGTGTTGTGCTAAGTGTAGACATCACTGTAGTGTAGACAGTGTAGTGTTGACATTTGTTTCCTTGTAGTTCCTATTTAGTTATTTAGTGTAGTGTTGACATCAAATCACCATCAAATTTATCGATTATTGTCGTCTTTGTTGATCTTTGTTATGTTAATTTTGTTGTTTTTAGTGTTGAGGAATTGAGGAAGAATATTGCTTAGGTTGATCTAAAATCTAAAGAAAAAAAGAAACACCTGTAAATATTAGCGTATAGAGAGTGTTCGGCTCAGCATCCCATGTGGCCGTTGGCTTGTCTTTTACCTGTGTTGGAGTCAGTTCGTTTCCAAGTTGAACCTATAAACACTCTTACTGCTTCAGAGTGTTGACTCAAACTCTTACCTTTACTCCGCTTGGGTAGGTGATTAGTATGAGTTGTTTCGGCTTTATGGGAATAACATCAGGCACAACACTGTCATGGATGAAATTTTCGAGGTCCATTTTAGTTAAAAATGTGAAAAGATGAGAAAATGAGAAAGTTGAGAAAAGAAAAAGAAAGAATAAGCGCACAAGTGAATAGAATTTACGACTTTGAAGTGGTTAAATAGACTGCTTTTCGATCTCTGTTGATGGGGAAGAAACCATAGGGAATTCCCCAAAAAGTTTCTGAAAAATGGTTTGTGATTTGCTGACAGAAATTGAGACTCTCACCGTTTCTTCCTTGTGGTTTGTGCTTCCTTTCTTTCCTTTCTCTTCACCCTCCACGCATTTCTTTATCTCTTATCTCTCTCTTAGTGTTTACATTACATACATTTATCTTTACATACATTTATCTCCTTGGTCTCCTCCTCTTTCTGGGCTTTGTGCCTGATCATTGTAAGAAATAAAAAGTTTAACAACAACCTTTTTCTCTCTAGAGTGAGTGTGTTTTTCTTTTTCGTTATTAGCCATTACGGCTTCCATTTTTGGCTCAAAATCTCAAGTAAATTACGTATTCCAGCAGGACAATGCTAGCATTCACAAAGCCAATCATACAAAGCAATGGATGACGGCTAATGGAGTGGTTTCGATGCTCAGGCTTAGGCTTAGGCTTAGGCTTAGGCTTATGGTCTTAGGCCAAATCGATCGTCTGAACTCAACTCCATTGAGAATCTCTGAGGCAAAAGATAATGTTTTGCATATTCTGAGTTCGCATTTACTTTACAGTTTACTTATGATTCTAGTCAGTAGACACTAAGCATGCTATTCGATATAAAGTTTGTCGTATTGGATTGTATTGTATCTAAAAACTGGTCTGATCGATCGATCAATCTGGTCGGATTCTACTGAGTCGGAAACAATGGAAAACTCTGAAACTTTTAGATTAAATGAAAAGCAGTCGGTGCTGAAATTATTCAGCTATGTTTATAATTATAAATGTACCAATAATAAGGCTCAAATTATAAATTAACAATCCCCATCTTTCAGCCAAATTCTATGTGGATACAAATTCTCTAGCAAAGGAATTAAGGAATTTCCCGTTGAAACTGAAGACTGAGGACTACTTGAGTCTTGTGTTCTACAATGACATTGACTACAGTGACAATGACATTCTACAATGTCTTGTGTGACGGTGTTAATCAAAAAAAAGTTTCTTTTAGAGATCTCACTATAAGTTCCTTCTTTGGCTGAACAAATTTAAGCAGAGTTATTTTCGTTTTTGCATCAAGTTACATCTTAAACTAAAACTGAGAACTTGCTGGCCTCCTTGAAAGCAAATCATCTCAAATTCCATCCCACTTATCCCACTCAAATTGCTACTTTTCGAAGAGAACATTGAGAATACAGAAACAATTTCTATTCAAATCCTAACCTAAACTACCTAATGCCAGGATTTCAAATCCTTAACTTAAGCATAACTCTTGAAAGTCAATGATCATTATTTTGTGGAGTGACGATGCTGGTCAATGAAAGGAAATAACCGTTTTTTAATGGCTACAGTTTATGTGCAAGCCAATCCGCACTCGAATTTCAACGGGCCACTGCGCTCGGGATAACTCCGAACCTGCGACTAACCGAACCCAACGTTGCTTAACTTGCCTAACTTAACTGCTTAACAAATTCAAAACTTTCTATGAGAATACCCCAAAAAGAAAGACCGCATTTTTGATTAACGGTTTCGTTAATTTGTGTAAGTCTTTTTTCAAAATTTACACATAAAAGTTTGTACAGCGTGCGTCATAATTACTCATAATCACTCTGGAGGGTGTAGCTCATTCAAAAGATAACCACAAAAATTTTACAGGTAAATTTTGAGTGGCTCTCCTTTAACGGTGCCCATTATCTAGCCGATAGGAGCTCACAAATTTTTTAAACAAGCTCTCAACGTTAGAAGTCGCACTTAGCTTGGCGCTCGATCTAGTTTACGGATTGATTTTAAAAAGATCGACTCAACGAACTTGAGCCGCCCATTCAGCAGTGAAGCTTGCGGGAAATAGTGAATTTGTGAATGATTCTGGAATTTATCCAAATCATACTGATGTTTTGCATTCTTACAATCCTTTCCTCATCGAGGTGTGTTGCTGGTCGAAAAACTCAACCGAACCACTTCCACATGTTATCTCGATTACCTAGCTCAATGGTGATGTTGATGTTCTAGGGTTATCGAGGCAAATCCGCTACTCGCCGCAATCAAATTCTCTCCAATAGGCACAACTGGATTCTGGATCATCTGTCTAGCCAAGGTTTTTTGTTCCTAAAAACGTCGTCCCTTCACATAAACGAGCGTACACTTGATCGCCTAAGCCAAGCCATTCAGTGCTGAATAAAGGCATGGTCGGTTGGGTTTGGCTGAGCTTTGTCAAACGCATTCCTACCACAACACAAGACACTATGAGTCAACTCACAAATCAATCAGAACCAATCTAAACTAAACTGTTAATTGGCTCGGTTTTTAATCTTTTATATACGATTCGTGAATAAAACTATATCCCTCAAATCGCCCATAAATACAACTTAAACTACGACATTTCACAATCAACTTAACATGGTAAAACGTCAACAAACAAAACGAACTTTTATTCATTACAACATCTCATAATCACTTTCGGTCACTTCTCCAATGATATCATTTGCTTGATTCAAAGCCTAGATAATAATATAAAAAGAATCAGAATACATTCGGAAACCTCCAACATTGCCATCGCCTCCTTTCGCTGCTGAGCCATTCGCTCGTTTTCGCCGAGCAACTCGTTAAGCTTTGACGAATTGTAAAGAGCGCTTACGAGCTCAGCGTGCAGGTTCTCCTAAAAATCAAAAAGCTGAATTAGTGCTTTGAAGTTACTCGCGAATTAAGAAGTTAAAAATAGCTATAATACTAGGGCTCCCTAGAGTTGGAGTTTAAAATTGGCTCATAACTACAAGTACAGCTGGGGTTTCACGTCACGGTGCTGAAGAATGGCATACAAACTCCGATAGAAGCTAAACTCACAATTTACAAAGCAACCAAACTGTGGTTTAATGTCTCATATGGCCGATATCTCTCATATAATCAGCTTTTAGGAGCCCCAGGAAGTGACAGGTAATTGATATCTTTAGAACAAGAACGCAAACTTTCTTCTAAGTAGCCTCTTTTCCAACTGGTTCTTCGCTCTTGATAAGATCCAATTAAAACTTTAAACTCACAGTGACATAGTCGACCATGTTGTGCATAATGGTTTTCGGCACGAGGTCCTGAACGTTCTTGCAAACAATCGCAAAGTAGCTGGCGATGAGACGTTCTGGAAACTCCTGGACTTTAGAGAAACTCAGTAACATTACTAACTTCAGCAACTTCTACAAATCTAACTTTCACTATAGACAACTGGAAATATTATCCATCTTAATTAACTATCGTAATCTCTCTCGTAATCTTCCCACCCATGATCTCGCAATCGCGTTGTTCGTTGGGCGTCAGCTCCTCTTTCACCAGTTTCTCCGGCACTTTTGTTGACGTGTTTTCGTTCAGATTACCTGAAAAGCGTGCGGAAATTCTTGCCTTTCTTGAAAACCTTTAAAGTGTCCCTCGTTGAACCCTCGGTCACCCTGGGCGACTTTTCTTAAAACCTAGATAGTCAATCATTTTGAAATTTAACATATAGGGAGCCAAGAGTTTTTGCTATTAGGAGAAAAAACGAGTATTCAAAAATATCCACAAAGAGCCGAGTTTGGCCAATTAAAAATTTTTGCAAGAGGAGCACTCTTGGAAAGGTACCTAGGTCTGTTTTTCTCGAGGCCTACCTAGCCAATTTTCTGAGACTACAGAATTTTATAGTCGACGAAGGAACACACAATTTTAGAAAAAGAGTAACTCACAAGAGCAAAAATTCTTGGCTTTCTATATGCCAAATTCAAAATGATTGACTGTTTTAAGAAAAGTCGCCCAGCGTGACCGAGGGTCCAACTGGGGCACTTCAAAGGTATAGTTGTGGACACCCACCTTGTTGCAGATGAGCACGTTGGGGCTGCTTTTGCTGATCTCGTAACTCCTGGAATGTGAATGTTTCAACTTTTCTATATACAGAAGTCAAATAGACAATGCTTACTTTTCTCATCGCCGCATTTCTTGCCTCATTCCGAGCGACCACCTCCTTCAGCTCGTTTCGTTCGTCAAGATTCTCGACAAATGAATTCTAAATCATTGCCAGCTTACTGGTACTAAACATTTCCTTTAGTTTAACGAATAGGTATGCGTATCTCAATATTGTGAAGGATATTGTGAACTTTATTAAACACCCTTTATAGGTCGGGACTATGAATGCAAAATCTAGACTTCGCAAATCGAGCCCCTGGCCGTTTCTTCTCACTTGCTAAACCATGAGAATGATCTCCCAGTTAACAACCTCACATGACTATTGAATAGGGTATGTTGATACAAACTTTGAACAAATCGATAAGTTTCGCGTCGGCGAATTCGGGATGTCGAGTGTTGATGTAGGCGCCCTCGACGGCAAGAAAGTTTCCCACCTAAATTTGGGTCTCACGTGTGAACGTTTGAAAAATTAACCAGAGATTTGGTTTCGTTGAGTCGATTCTTCAGAATGTTACCCAAAACTTTCTTGATCGCTTCGAAAAGACGCGGGAAACGAGTCATCTCTTGCTGAAATCGTTTACAATACATAAAATATGTAAACCATTATCTCTATACATTATCTCTTTCTTGGAAATAGCAAACTAAAATTAGTTGAAATTCTGAGGTTCGTCTATTAGCGACTAGGATAGACTAGCCTTTTTTCTTAATCCTTTAACTCTGAGAAAATTCTACCTGAACATCTTTGCCACAATGTGAAACGAGTCTCTGAAGCTCCTGGTGCACAAGGTCTACGCATCTGAAAAAGATCTTTTAAAAATGCATAAATTTTTTTACTTCAATGAAGGCTCCTCTAAGCGTTCGATTTGTTTTTTCACAAGCAACGCAAAGGCGACCTCGGGCACAAAAAGCGCTGGGCGGGCACCCTAGAAAATCGTAAGATGTCTGGGGGAAT